TCTGTATCTACTTCTAGGCCTTGTCTTTGAAAAGTTTTGAAAAGCCCATCCTGACAGCGAGGTAAACAACGCTACTGTTAATGAGAAAGCTGCTGTTTCGTCTTCAACTTCATTGTGTCGTATTACCCTCAGTAATAATAAAATAATATCCATGTTACAGTATGAAACAGAGTAAGATGGAATCTAGGAAAGTTAATGACGTGAGTTGTAAACGTGACTGGAGTTTGTTCATTTGATTTTTGCAGGTGGTGCTTGGAGCTAGAGGAACTTTGCCAAAACCCTACTCACTTCAAATATTTTTCTTACAGGATGAAAGAAGAGAGTCAGGCTTTTCATGGTTAATCATTTGCCAGGTTTTTACAGTTTAAACTTGTTGATACTCAGTATTCCGTGGAACATCTATTAGCTGGTCATAAACCAAGGCAAGCAGTGTATCTGTAAGTCACTAACAAAATAATGTTTCTGCCAAATGTTTTTGTGAAGGTGTGTTTAAGAGATAAAGACCATGTAACTTGAGAAATGCATTGCATGCTTTACAGCAAGATGTTATTTTTATAAACATTTTTTCAATAGTATGCTTTTTTCTAAAAGGAGTCAAGAGGCAGTTCTGTTTTTATAATTTGAAATGTTTGAGTATTTTTTAAAGTAAAAACACTTAATTTAGACAAATGTGCTGTGACTCATTTTTAGGCTTTTTTGTAGCAAAAATTGATTTGCGTTTTTGCCACAACAGCCAACAAGCTCATATAATCAAGTTTGAAAGTCACATAGATTTAGCTTTGCTTTTATACTGACGCTGACTTCTTTCATTTTTTGCAAAGCTGCAGTGATTTTTTTTTTTTTTTAAACAGCTGTTGGGGAAAGACCTTGTGGACTAGGCAGCAATTGAGGTAAAGAGTAAGCCTTTTGCCTGGTTGTTTTTGAACTTGAGATGTCATTCCCCAGTTTTTGCAAGAACTAAATTACTAGTTTTTTAGTAAGGCCAAGCCTCTGAATCCCTTAAATTGATGAGAGGTTTGTACAAGCTTCATTTACCACTCCCTAAAAGTGAAGATGTACAATTCCTCTGCATACTATGGATGCATATTATCTATTAGCACCTGAAAAACTTTAGCCCATTCTGAAACTGAAATGCAATAATTTGATCTACACGATAGGACCGAACGCACTCCCCCCACCCCTCCAAGTTTACAGCCAGTAGAAAACTGGGAGGAGTGGTTAATACACCAGAGGGCTGTGCTGCCACTCAGGGGGAACCTCAGCAGGCTGGAAAAATTGGCTGACAGAAACCTCATGAAATTCAAGGAAGAGAAGGGCCAAAAGGGAATAGCCTCATGCACCAGTACATGCTGGGGGCTGACCAGCTGGGAAGCAGCTCTGCAGATAAGGCCCTGGGGGGACAGGGGTCCAGGTGAGCACCAAGTTGACCATAAGCCAGCAATGCATCTTCACAGCAAAGAGGATCAACAGCATCTTGGGCTGTGTTAGGCAGAGCATTGCCAGCAGGTTGAGGGAAGTGATCCCCCTTCCACTCAGCACTGATGAGTGAGACCACAGCTGGAGTGGGTCTAGTATTCACTAGTATCTAGTGGGTCTAGTGAGCCCAGCTAGGGCTGGGTCTAGTGCTGGGCTCAACAGCATGAGACACACATGGAGCTACTGGAGTGAGGGGCCACAAAAATGATAAGGAACCAGAGCATCTCATATGAGGAGAGACATAGTGCTGGGACTGTTCAACCTGGAGAAGGGAAGGCTTGAGGAGGGGATTGTGTCAACATGTATAAATACCTGATGGGAAGTGAGTAAAGAAGATGAAGCCAGACTCTTTGCAGTGGTGCCTAGTGACAGCACAAGAGGCAATGGGTACAAACTGAAACATGGGAAGCACCATTTAAACATAAGAAAAAATATTTTAAACTGTGAGGGTTGTTGAACACAGGACCAGGTTGCCCAGAGGTTGTGGATTCTCCATCCTTGGAGATACTCAAAACCCTACTGGACACAGTCCTGAGCAACCTGCTCTCGTTGACCCTACTTTGAGCTGGGGGGGGAAGCTGGACTAGATGATCTCCAGAGGTCCCTTCCAACACCAACCATTCTGTGCCCTATGCTCTATTGTGCTTGGTAAGAGACTAGTTAAAGCACAGTAGACTACTTCCCTTGTGTCTTGGGGGAAAAAAAAAAATCTCAGCCTTTTTCCTGAAGGACTGAAGAAAGGAGTCAGGGAGCAAAAATTCATAAATGTGCACACAACAAACTGTAGCTATTGGTAACATTTCTATCTTGTCCAATAGTCTGTATGTTCACACTGTGGCTGACTGCCAAACAATTACTACTCATGGAGACTACACTGAGGGATCTGAACCTTTCATGCAAACAATTACTACGCAACTACTTTACCATGTTCTTATTAGTGCTGATTGATTGCTTGTGCAATAAGACAAAGCCAGTGATGGTAGCATATGGAGATCTAGGTACTCAGGTAGCAGGTACCTGGACTGGTGCCACCTCTCAGCAAGCTAGTGACAGAGCGGACCCTTCAACCTGCACCGGTTTTCCTGAATGTAGATTAGAATGACAGTAGACAGGAAAAAAGGATTATGGCTTCTTGAGGTAACATCACATGTTAAGTCATACGCAAGGAACCTAGCTACCCTGGGTTGCTGGTAAGGCAGGGAGCTCTGGAACCAGCTGGTGGGCTTGCCTGGATCTCTTCTGATATTGCAGGCCACTCCCTCTAAACTCCACCTGAGTTGCTGAGCATTTTTGCTGAGGTACTGGCTCTGCAGACTGTCTGCTAGTGCGTTGTGGCACCCTCACCCCAGCAGCTAAAACGTGAGTAAAACAAGGCAGAGCATAATCAGGTAGACTTACAATATGCTTAAGCCTTACCCTAGCTAATGGGTACAGAGCTAGCTAGTATGAATCAGCAGGTATTATAAACCAAAGCAGAAGCTGTTTAGAAGTATATCTGAATTAGCTCATCCTCAGGCTTTGGATTAGGGCTATAATTCTAAGTATTACCCAAAAGAACACTAATGGAAGGATACTAGAGCTAGGTTGTTTGCTTAATATTAATGATTGAGGCTGATAAACATTTTCTCCATAGTTCTTTAGCAGTCCCAAGATAGATTCCTCCAGTAATGTCCAAGTATCTTAGGGCCTCTGCCAATCTGCTTGAGATGCTCTTGGGAAAAAAGTATCAGAAGACTTGAGAGGAAATTAGCCCAACTCCTCCCCTTCCTTTCTGTTCCCCTGAACTACCTCTAAGCAGAAAGAAGTGAAATGTTTAAATGGCACACTTTTGTCCTTTTTTGTGAGGAAATGAAAAGCAAAGTATATGCAAGATTGCACATTACACAAATAGCTAAAACAAGTAGAGTTGTCAGATTGTCTCTCTCTTCCACAGGTAGGCCCTGGCTTAAAGAAAGGACAGAGCTGCTTTTCACACTTCATTAGGATGAGCACAAGGCAAGAAAAGCTTGAGATCTAAGGTGATGACATGCTCCCTGTAACAAGGCATCTTTCCAAATGTTAGATAGCAATGGTAGTAAAAGACTTACCTTAAAGTCATGAATAAAGACAGCTGTTAAATCAGTGACGGATAGCCAAAGCAGTTTTAGAGCTAATGCCTTAGCCTGTTAGGCAAAAAAATTTCTTTTTTTAAAAAAAAGAAAATCCATACTGGATTTGATAATGTAGGAACTAATTTCAGTACACACTTTTTTTTTTCCACATCAAGGCATTTTATTGAGGTATAAACTTTGCAAAAGATGAGGTAACAATTTGCATAGGATTTATGCAAAATAACTTCACAACTAAAACATTTATTTGGCATTAACTCCTGTATGTGAAGAAAAACTGACAGTTCAGGCTCGTTAGATTCTCCTCAATGCACAGTTCTGTTAATGCTAGTGGTAGGACAGTGGAGAAAGTACAGCAGTTGTAGCTAATGAAGCCAAAGTCATATTTAAAATATTTTCATCCGACTTTTTCAGCTTCTTTTCGCCAGTTTGTGTTAGAGGGTACTGAAACAGATGAAGCTTGCTACATTTCAAAGTAAGCTTGTCCAGTGCACGAGAGGAGGTGCTAACCTTCTTGTCACTATGATAGCGTGGAGTTTTGTTTTTAAGAAAGCTTTTTAAATTATTGGAATAAAAAGCCCCTAGTTGTCAAAGTTAGTACTTTGAATTTGGAACTTGAATTTTAATTCGTCAAACTGATTAAGGCTAAAACATGGAAGTCTTAGTAAACATTCATTCTTGTGCTATGAAACCACTCCTCTTTAAATACTTATATGCAAATAAGTACATGCTCTATTGCCTTAATTTCATATGTTAAGACATTCTATAAGTGTATATTTAGTGTAGCTCCCTTGAGGCCATGGGAAAAAGCTTGCAAGCTAGCTTCCTTTTAGTCATGTAGAACTGAGTGTCCTAAGAAAAGTTCCGTTACTATTTGACATGTAGAACACTCTTTGCTGGTGAATGTTAATATACTAATATCTAGTAGCAATTCCTGCAGACATGAGAGTCACGTCTGCAGACATGAGAGTCATGATATCATTAGAACTAAACTATAAAATGTACACAAGCATATACAGAAAATTAACCAGAAAAACATCAATTACCTGTTGAAAGTCATTTTTCTAAACCAATTCAAAAAGATTTTCAAAATACAAAAAAAAAAAAAAAAAAAAAAAAAAAATTAAAAAAACTAGCAGCTGACTCCAAGCCTGGCTCATAGAACTCCTGGGTGGCTGAAGTGCTGGGGTGAATTTTAGCAGCGTCTGTCTGCAACTGTTCAGCAGATAAGGCTTGGTAATAAGCAATGTCCTACAAGCATGAAGCACATTATTGCACTTTCAAAATGAAAGATACCAATAGGAATATCCCCTTACACACTGTTCCATTGCACGTATCCATTATTATATACAAGGCTTTCATAAACCAATTCAAAAAGATTTTCAAAATACAAAAAAAAAAAAAAAAAAAATCAAAGCTTAAAAAACAGCCTGAGGTAAGAGTTAAATGCAAATGGCAATCTTTTTCTTTAAAAAAATAGCTGTATTGAAATTCTAGGAACTTATAAAGTTACTTACTGTCAATAAAAATTTTTACTAACAATTGTAAGGAGTACTTTAGCTAATATAAAAGTATACAGATATTGTACACAGATTCAAAGTAAAAAAAGTACAATACTGTACTTGCATTTCATTTAAAAATAGATAGTTATGACAATTCAAACGTTTACCATACACAGTAAATCGGCTTTGGATTAGCTGCTACTGTTGTCTGTGGAACAGTCGGCTAATTCTGTGCGCTGCTGAGTTTCAGCTGTGCTGGGACATGATATTTTACCCTGTCCATTTGCCTGAGTGAGTCGCTGGCTGTAAAACAAAATGTAGGCTTGAGCCTTGCATACTTCTTCAATAGTGCACATGTTGAGTTTGGAATCATTGCAGTGTACCCAAAATCCTAGAATGAAGTAATATATCAAAAGAAATCATCAGGACACTGACGTGAGGTAATTGCATTGTATTTAATAATTAGTGTTGAGACCCAGTAAAAAAAAGTTTCATAGAAATATTGTACTGTTTCAGTTGATAGAGTATATTTGCCTCTAAATTATAAAAGCTCATCTTAGCTTCTTTAGATCTGCAAGAGAGTTTATCATCAGAATAGATTTAACTAGCCAATAAAAAATGTGAACCTTTTTTGGGGTCTACATAACAGTGATTCTCATTTCAGGCAGATTCAGCTATAAGTGATCCCTTTTGCTTTTGAGAAAAGACTGTAAGTTTACTGAAATATGAACACCCAGTCTCCCACACTCTTGAATTTTACAGTTTGTTCCTACCTCCTTCTGAATTGTAGCAGTAGGCAGTGTAGTGCCCTGAGCCAAATCCTTTCCCGTGATGCATTACTACAGCAGACAAGTCATAGATAAAGCAGTCAGGTAAGAGACACTTGAGAGATTCTCGGCAGCAATAGGGTTCCATGTTCAGCATTTGATCAAAAGTAACGTGTACACCAATCTTTTCACGATGATTGCGTCCTGACCACCTGGAAAATTAAGTCAAACGAAAATTTTTCTGAAGAAAAAACATAGCATTCTGAATTGTTAAAAGTTATCCTTGCTAGTCTCTTTACATAAAATACATGCCTTTTAAAATATGTCTATGTGTTTACTATTCTCATCTTTTGAAAGATCTGACTATAAAGGATAAGTGAGAAGTCCAGTATTCCCCACATACTATATCTCATTTTTATTTTCTTTCCTATTCAGGTCAGATTTTGTGCCAATGCCTCGCCTAAGATTTCAGAGATGCACTCTTCCCTTCCTTACTCTCAGGCTAATGAGAGTTACGTGAGACTTCAGACTGAATACAATCTCAGTTTGTACATCCGTGAATATGACCTTTCACTCTGTCTGAGGATAAAACAAGATTAATTTTTACTAACAGAGTTCACAGCAAGATTACCACGTTTGATTGAAAAAAAAGGATGAGATAACTTTGGTATTAAAGTAGCATGTAGCTGGTATCTAAAAGGTCATTTCCCTGCTTATGACATAGCTTATTCATGTTTAATCAAATAAGGAAAATACATTTCTAATAACTACTTCTCATCACACCAGTAAGCTTAATAGACTTCTCAAGGACTGATGCCGAAAATCAGTGATGCCAAAGGATCAATGGAAGAGCAGGACTAAATTGCTCAGTTTGCAACATTTAAGTTTGTTATAGTACTACTTACCTAAACCGTTTAAGGTGTAATCTGAGAACCTGAGGTAGTCGACACACCATAAGCTGCTTCTGAGCTTCTGTGAGTATAACTGGTTTAGAAGAAAACTTCCTGCGTTTTGCTGAGGCCAAACACACAGTTACGTACATACAAATCTAGATAACAGCATATTTTTATGGACCTAAATAGCTACCAAATGCACCTCCTTAAAAAGGATACACTTTGTGATCCATTCTGCAAAGATTATTTTGTGATTTAAATATAAAATACTTGTGGTCTCTTAAGTTATTCACATTAATTTGAAAAGCTGATAGGTGCTTCAGCAGGGAGTATCACAATCCCCCTTAGTGTGTGATCATACTCAATTTAAGAGAAGTATCACATTTTAAAATATCCTTTGAACAATTTCGTCTTCTAGGTGGAGAGTAATGGCTATCACAGTGACCATACCAGGACATAAGAGGAAGTGTCTGGGTTTTTTTTGTTTGCTTGCTTGCTTTTAGTGCTATATACTTTCAAGATTTGTAGTATTTTCCTGCTATGCTTTTACTATCACTTTAATTCATATTTTACATGGAGAACATATGCCTGAGTACATACTGCCTTTACTCACTGTTGCACTGATCACATGCATATATCTTCCCTTCCAAAGCTTCAGTCTCTGTAAACTTGGCCAGCATCTCTGTCAGCAAACATGGATGTTGAGACGCCATCTCCTTGCCATTGCAGTGATATCTCTCAGGAAACTCCAGTGACAGGTCCCAGAATGGTTCTACAGTATTTGATTTATTGTCACAGGCAAGGCACGTAACCTGTAAAACAACATATTTCACCAGTTTCTCACATTCAAAAAACTTACTTTACCAAAACAATGTAGCTTGAATTAAAAAAAAAAAAAGTTTTTCAGGGATCACTGATGCAAACAAACAAAAGATATAGTAATTTAACTGGAAAGAAATGATGTACCTAATTTATTTTCTCTGAAGCAGCATGCCCAATACTTATCACAAAAAGGGTAAGAATTCTTATGTTTTACTGAGAAACAAAAGCAATGTCAAAATGGTCTGTCTGGGATTGTCCAAGGGAAACCAGGTGGAGTCTCAGGAGCCTTTTCTCCAAAAAGAAATACTCCAAAAGGAATATGTACATGAAAGAGATAAATGATAATTTAGCTTTAATTAAAAAAGAAAAAAAAATAGCTGGGGTTTTTAAAGTCATATCCTTCTTACTTTGTAAGTCTTCCAGGGAAGCCTGGATTGGGAAGCACTTCTTCAAAGAAAAATTAACAGGTAAAAATAATTTATTTCTTCTTTCAGTAAGTGGATCCATCGTCACACTAGGGAAAGGACAAGCAGTAAGACAGAACATAAATAAAATGTCAAGAAATGAAGCGAGTCAACCTGGAAAAAGCAAGATAATACAGCAGGGGAAAATTAATCTATGATAGACACTGAATTTTTAGGAAAGCAAATTCATAGTAGTAGCTCTTTTAAATATAATGGCAACACAGTACATGTGGATTTGCAATACAGTTCTCTAAAAGCCGCCTACTGCTGCTTATAGAAGCATCATATGTAGTATTACAATCTTCCTCCAAAGGATCTCTGTCCTTTCTGATGATCCATGTGGGTGATTAACTTGCATAAGTCACTGAACATATGCAGTAGTGCAACTGCGTTTGGCTATAACAAGCCTAGTTCATAAAGGCCATAAAGAAATATCAGTAAATCTCACATGTGTGCAAGACTAGAAATATATTCCTGTTCATATGTTCAATTCGCCAGTCAAAAGTATAAAATAAAGAGTTAATTACCTGAGTTTTCCACTATTAAGGATGTATTTATTGGCTTAAGAATTGCAGGTGATCACTAACCCAAGCAGTGCTAAATTCACTGATCTAGAGAGAGAAGGAGCATTTTGTAGAGAGAGAAGGAGCATTTTGAAGAAGTCCATGGTAAATTGAATTTTAAATGAACTCAGGTAGATAGCTTTGACAAACCTTCCAAGCATCAAACACACTCCTACTGTTCTCCAATAGTTAACAAACTTCCCCTCAAAAAGGATTAAAGGAACTCAAAGTTTTCATACATGACTTCCTTTCAAGACACTTATTTATCAACTCAGAAAAACAGTTGGGTATGATTGACAACACCATTCATGTTTGACAGTAAATGGAATATCAAATATCTGCAACCAGAAGGGTAACTAATTGCCAAAGGAAAGTCTCTGTAAGCATGCTTCCTATTTAGGAAAATACAAATCGTTTGGAACAAGTAATACAAAGATGTAGTAATAAAGGAATGAAGATCCCCAAGGGATCTGAATATTGTTATTTCACAGGCATACCTTTGCGTTGCTGCTCTACATATATTTAGGAAAATAACTTTTCAGTCACATTAGTGCACCAGCAAAAGTGTAAAAATTCACTGTTTCCAAGATCTCATTTATTTTTCCTTTGAAAGCTTGCTGTTACGTCATTAGTCACCTTGCTTTGTCTATTATTTCCTGATCCTTTATATATGATAAGGGCAGATCTATCACTTTATGATAACTTTCTTCCAGGTGTTCTTGTGAGTAATTCTCTATTTAATATACTTATTAGCCAAAACAGCTTATATACGATTTATATCATTAGCTACCTAATGCAGATGGATATTTGTGTACAGGCACACACGCACGGGAAGCTTATAGTTGCTTCAAGTTCTAAGAAGAAGAAAATGCCACTGCCGTCGTCTTAGAAAACAAAAAACTTTGTATTTACATGGCACAAGCGAGGAGAATCTTCCGTTTTAATGTACGCTGCCAGGAGTTTTTTTTTGTAAGTGCTAACATCTGGCAACGTTTCAAAGCCACAAACTATTAGTAAATCGAAGCTGGAATCTGGACTTGGAGACAAAACGATACGTTTGGCAACAGTTCAAGCTAACTCCAGCATAAACACAAAATGACTAATAGATTTCTGCTGTACAAATGGGTGGGTTTTTTGGGCCAAAAATTTATTTAATTGATGAATTACTTAAGCTGGAATTTTTTGGACATGAATGCACACTGAAAATTAATGGGCTTAGGATGAGGTATACACATGAACACAGTACCGATAATTTTGACATGTTAGGAGGTTTTAAATTTCGTGTATGCTATTAACAATCTAGGTTATTTAAAGATCCTCTTTTCCCACTAGTTAATAAATACTATCCCAAAGAATAAAACATATATAATTGGGCCAGCTTCAATTTTTGTCCCACAGAAAAAAAGTAACTGATGCAACAGTGCTGTGTCTCACTGATTTGTGTCAGCAGATACCTGTACTGCTGTAGAGGTCCAGCTGCCTCCTCAAATGCAACACTCTCCCCACTTCCACATTGTAGAGTTAAACTCTCAAAAGTTATCTGGGATTTGCATATTTGCCCCTAGCTAAGTTCCCTGACGTATCTGGAAAAGCACATACCCAACCATATCAGCTGCCATGTGATAACTGCTCCTGCGCACACTTTAACTCAGTGAGAAATGAGAGGTAAATTGGGACTGGAACAAAGATGAACTGATTGCAAGTATTTTTCTTAGGCAGACCACAGCTTACAAATGGCATTATGCAGCAAGCAGGCTCCTTACCCCTCTGTGGGGCCTGTCTGCACAGGCCAGTATGCAGGGTCAGGGCTCCAGCCATTTCCATTGCTGCACAATACTCCCATGATTTCTGTTTTCATTTAAATAAATTCCTTTATCTCGCACTCCACTAATATTTACATAGCACAACCAAGTTTTTGTGCTTTAATCAAAGGCACTGAAATTTTATAAATGGTTCGTACATAGGTTGAACAAGCTGTGCAAATTAAAAAAGTTAAACATGAACTGGAAGAGCTGGCAAAAACTTTTTACATCTACTCAACAAAATTTTTTTATGGTATGAGTATGCATAGAGGAAAGAGTTTGCCTTACTGACATGTACCTTTATTATTATTACTTTTTACAAATGCAAGATTTAATTCCACCTCCTCGTTATATTTTCAAACTGTTCTTTTAAGAAATGTTAACACCATGATTTATAACAAAACTACATGAGAAATTTACATGATAGCAAAGCAAATAAATTACTGTTTTTAGCTTGTTTGAAATCCCTGCTTTGTGTTCTGCCCCGACCACGCTCTCATGGCTTGGAACATGGTTACTAAATACAATTGTTTGGTTAAAGCTCAGTAGTCAATCATGGGCCAAAGGCCAGCTTGAAAGGAGCTAGATCAGGTTGCTTGATTCAGGCTAAACACAGAGGCTACTCAGAAGTATCATTGTACTAGCGGTAAGAATCTGACGGCCGCCTTTGCCCTGGATGGCATTCTGCCTAAACGGAGCCAAAGAAAATAGTTAGCGCGTTGGTGCTGAGAAAGCTAACACTGACATCAGCTCTGTTCTTCCCATGTTCCCTGCACCTGCCCAGAATAAAAACAACCATTGCCATCTCTGCTTTGATGTTTTTTGATTTTAAGAATAGTTAAGATAGCTAGCCCCATTTTTGTGCTCTATTACCACTTAAGTTTTTACTATATGGAGACAGCTATATGAAAAAGGAGCAATTTTTCCACAGCAAATTACTCAAAAAGAAGGGGATTTCTAGGAACCTGCTGTCATAGGGAATTTCACAACATTACAATCCACATCGTATTTCTTCAGTTACCAAGATGAGCGAGCTTTGCCCTGATGAGTATGCACTATCACCAAAATGAACTGTATCTATTTAACAGAGTATCGCTAGCAAAACCACAGCAAATTTTGGACTGCGATTCAAGGTTTTAAGTTACTATGGGGTAACTTAAAACACCACCTCCATATAGCTGAAAAGCAGTTTGACAACTATTTTACAATTCAGGCAACACAGAAAAGCACAGACACTAATACCAGACTAGAGAAACTGGCATACAGCTTAGGGACAGGCTTAACTGCAAATGTTCCTGTAACCTCCCTCAAGTTCTCATAGCTTTTCATAGCTTTTAGTCTATTCAGTCTGAGAGACTTCATAACTATCACTGTATGACAGCCACCCTCAGCATTCACCCCCAAGCTTAAATTCTTGCCATGCTACCCAAATCTGAAGGGCTTAACCCCCCCTCCCCTCCAAGACTGCTCATATCCCCTTCTCTCAGCCGTTTGGTCCTGAAATACACTGGTTGACCAAATAAAAGGAAATGCCTCTCCTTACAAGTCTTGCTTCCCTTAAAACTTTAAACACAATTCACATACTATGTTTGTTAGAGCCTACCTCACTATTTGGGTCTCTTGCATATTCATGCCTTTGGAAATACGTGTCGTTCTTGTGCAGTGCTTAGCAGGGAGGGAAGGGGGCATTTTGCTTAGATGCTGTCTTAAACATCGTCAGTAAGTAATTTGACCACTTTGCGGGGAGAGGGGCTGTTTAAACTTGTCTACAGATACCAAAAGCTTTAGTTCTTGCCACGTATTTCTATATAAATGATCAATTCTTAGAAAAACTCATCGCAAAAAGATAGGTGAGGTCTAAGAAGAAAGGACACCTAATTACAATTTTGTTGTAGAGAAAATCCCAAACCACACCAGCGCAGCCAGCGCTCCTTACTTTCCTTGCTGTGTCTGGTGTTGCTCTGCCAGAAATCTAGCCCAAAAGCTTGACATGATGTACCAGATTCGAATGTGTGGACTCCTCAGAAAAGACTTTCTAAAACTGCCCCAAAGGGGTCAGCATCTAAAGGGTTCCTCAGCAGTTCAAAAAGATGGTAAAAGTGACATTGACTAGGTATTTCTTTAATCATTTACATTCAATCTGAATTTACTCAGCAGCACT